AACTAAACAGCCTCTTCACAGACGCATGTCTCAACACAGGAGAGCCAGCTCCACAGGACAAGACTCAGCTGTTCACCTCCATCTCACAGATAAGGGACACTCTTTTGAGGACCAAAATGTGCACATTTTGGACCGAGAACACAGATGGTTTGAGAGGGGGGTGAAGGAAGTAATTTATGTAAAAAGAGAAAAGCCGTCTCTTAACAGAGGAGGAGGCCTCAGATTTCCACTTTCAAAAACATATAATGCAACTTTAAAACAGATTCCCAGCCGTTTTTCACACCTGATGGGAACAGAGGGGCCTCGACTGTGAATTAGAGGAACAAAGACCTACTGTTTAGGGTTTTTTAGGTGTGAACTGCCAATCTACATATACAGTATGTGTGTGTGTGTGTGTGTGTGTGTGTCTTATATGTGTGTGTGTGTCTTATCTCACTCAGCCTTATAACCTGTATCTCTCACTCTCTGCTCTTTGAATTGAGAAAGCTCCTCGGATGAGGAGCGAAACGTCTTCTGTTACAAATAAAGTCCAGTTGTTTTTGTATTGAACGCTTTTTGAATTCATCATGTCCTGGATGACTGAGAATCTTCACCAGCATATTGTTAGGGCTCCAACGATCCTTTGTTTAGACTCCAACAATCTATTGTTAGGGCTCTAATGATACATAGTAAGGGCTCTAGTGATATATCATTAAGTTGATGGACCTCGTTTTACATGCAAGTAGCTAGTTCTGAATGTCAGCACTCGGCAGCAAACAGGTTGATCCACTATGAGAAGGTGCTATTGAGACTGAGTTTGTTGTCGCTCCTCAGACTGACAAAGTTTTTTGGATAAAAGACAAAATATTTCAGTAGAGAAGAATCCGTCCAGAGGACCTGACTTAACCTTGTTAGATACTGCTTGTTAAATTGAGTAATAATTTCCGACATCCCAATTGTTGCAGTCATGAATGTCTTGGTGAACTTTTCTGTAAAACAACCTTTCTGCTGCCTGTGGTTCTTCTTGTGCCTCAGAGTCCAGCAAGGAGCAGTTTGCCTCCACCAACATCGCAGAGGAGCTGGTGCGTCTTTTCCAGAAGCAGACGGAGCACGAGAAGAAGGAAATGATTTTTGAGGTTCTGGCTCCACTTGCTGAAAACGGTAAGAATAATTGCCACCATTTTTATTTTTTGCAAAGCCTTTGGAGCTGAGCCAGTAAACCAGCCTGGGTTTTTAATTTAAAACCAGTGAGAGAAATCAGTTCTCTCTTCTTTTTTAAACACTCAGCACCTTCTGTCCAGAGAGTGATCCTCTGAGTGAGTCTGCATCCTCATGACAGACAGCTCCTGTTTGTTCAGCTGCTCTTTTTCCAACTGGTGTTTGTGTGACTAGCAGAGAGAGCATCTTCCTGAGTGCTCCCACACAGTCAGTCTCCAGGACAACGTCCTACTTAACTGTCCTCCAGAGAAAACTCACTGCTTCGTCCCTTTATCACACTGCAGACTGGTCTTTAGCTTTCTGAAGGAGCAACAGCTTAATGCGCTTTGAAAAAGTCCGAGCAGTATCAGTGAGATGGCAATAATTTATTAATAAAAATGCTGTTTCATATTTTTAAGTGTCTTACAGTTTTAATAATTTACTCTTAGAAGATTGGAAGATTTGTTTCCACAGCCCCTCATACTGTATGTGATTGAAGCAGGAACATTTATCAGCTCATTTACTATTTATTTTAACCAACAAGAATAAAAAAAATAAAAATTTAAAGCTCTATCATCCAGGTAGATAAATCACAAAAAGGTTAAATCAGGTCATCTGGACAGTTTCTTGTTGGGAGAAACGTTTCCTCTTTCATCTGAAGTACTTCGTCTGAGGCCTCCCAACCCAGGCCTACAGTACTGGTACCTACAATAATACTGGTACCTACTGTACTGATACCTACAGTACTGAAGGATACATACAGTACTGATACCTACAGTACTGAATGATACCTACAGTACTGGTACCTACAGTGCTCAACCCTTTAACCCTTTTTTGTGATTTGCCTACCTGGATGATTGATCTTTCAAGCCTTTTTCTGAACTGTTTTGGCCAGGTCTCCTCAGGCTGTTTTCATGAGTAGCAAGTTGGCCACCAGGCCCAAAACATTTGATTGTCATGCATGATGATCGATTGTTTTGGTCGGATGGACTCTTTTTGCATGTGTAAAGCCAGTTTCTGTGAACTCCACAGCAGGCTGGTTTGAAACACATCAAGTAGGTGATATTTATAAGACAGAGCTTGGTGGCAGGCCTCACACTGATGAAGTCTTTTAGATGAAAAACGAAACGCTTCTTCCAAAAAGTAACTGTTCAGTTGACCTGATTTAACCATTTTTGCAACAAGAAAAACTTTATTCTTAGTCTGTGTAGTAGTTCAAAAGTCATTGTTCAAACATTTTCTCTAGTGTAACTTCAGTTCTCAAAGCCTGTAGATCAAAATGTTTACTAAGAATATACAGAGTTTCCCCTACCGTTATCCAAGGGGGCCACCCCGCCCTTCCAACAGAAGCAAGCGCCCTGCCTACTCAAATGTCCTTCACCCACAGCCCACAACACCCCCACCCCCACCCAATCAACAACTACTGGCACCAACGCTGAAACCACCACCCTCTCTAAAACTGTCGGAATAAACAAAAGTCATGGACGAGATGAGCGCCCTGCCATGGCAAGTTCTCCAGGGAGAACACGGTTATATTTGTAATGTTGTTCTTCTTAAGTACAAATATTACCATTTATTTGACCCATTTAATGTTTATTCGGTTTATTGTCCCCCAACGCAAAGATGGTGAGTTGAAAATACCTCCATCTGTCAATCCAACCGTGCATGTTGTGAGCATGATAACTTAAAAGATACGTGAGGTACTGATTTACATTTTGGTCTGTGGCTGCATCTAGATGTAAGATAAAACACTATAAAAATTAGGGTGCCACATCAAAATCCAATATGGCTGCTGCCATATATATTTATATATATGTAAACTGACCACCCTGATCATTTCAGAAAACTGTTTTCTAGTTTTTACATAGCTTAAAAGTATAGTTTCCTCAAATCTTTGGGTTGGCCAAAGACTAATCTCTGGTGACCAAGGCCTCCACTGGACACCCTGGAAATGTCCTCGTGTCCACCCCTGTAAGACATATGGACAGACAGGAAGTGTTCTGGTGTTTGTCTTCTAGTTACACATTTCATTTATTATGTAAATACTGGGATGGATTCAGACTGTTGTCTTGGTAAATACCCCACAGTACAGAGTTTTATTAAAGCAGATAACGAGTTGATGATGCAGATGTAGACAGAAGTGTGACAGAGGACGTCTTCTGCTGTTAATGTAATGTTTGATGCATGTTATGAGCTGCACGGTCCTGTTGACACGCCTCCGTGTCCCTTTGGCCTGGCAGATACGATCAAGCTGCAGCTGGTGGAGGCAGGCCTGGTGGAGTGTCTGCTGGAGGTGGTGGCTCAGACTGTGGACGGAGAGCGGGAGGAGGACGTGGCCCAGCTGAAGACAGCCTCTGACCTCATGGTTCTCCTGCTGCTGGGAGGTAAGCTGCAGGGCTCCATCATCTGCTGGTTCTGCTGGTTTGCTGTCTGTGCATTTGGGCAAACGAGCTCATCAGACCCAGAGCTGTGTGAACACTGCACCACCGCTCTCAGACCCCCCCACAGTTAAAACCAAACTGTGAAACGGGTTTGATGCGCCGAGCGATCAGCTGCTCCTGTAGTCAAAACTGTCCTTTTGATCAGTCACCGCTAAAAGACGAGCCTTAATGTGTTTGTCTTGGTGTGTGCAAAACCTCTCATGAACCACTGGACTGATTTAATGAGACCTGCAGGGAAATCATGACCGTTATTAAAATGTATAAATAATTATTGTTTATTATTTGATTCAATTCAAGATGGCTTCTACAGTCACAAGCATGAGTTCAACTCATTCAGTTTCACAGATATTTAGCTCAAATAAAATTAGTTGTGGTAGTAGCTGAGTGGTGGCGCAGAGGTTAGAGAAGGTGGGCCTGTGATCGGAGGGTTGCCGGTTCAACTCCCCGGACCAACAACATCAAAATGTGGGTGGGAAAGGTGAAGCACCCACACCTGCCTCCACCCTCATTTGCCCCACTCTGGGCCCTTGAGCAAGGCCCTTAACCCCCACGATCTGCCCCTCCAAGACAGCAGCTCTCTGCTCCACACAGAGGGCTGTGGTAGCTCGGTGTCTGTGGGTGTGTCAGGAGACATCTGGTGTAAAAATAATTGCCACGTCTTCGTGTGTCAGTTCACTGTGGTGCCCCCTGAAGAAGGGAGCAGCTGGAAGACAAAAAATGGTTGAGTCATTTCCAGCACATATTTTGAGTGACATCACGTTAAATTCTGCAAAACATTTTCATGGTTTGACCAAAATGTCATCAACTCTTTGATTTTTCAACGCAGATGGTTTGAGTTTTAAACTAAGGCTGATTTAAAGGATGTTAGACCTTTAAATGATCTCAGTCTGAGAGCGTGTGCAGCTGTACTGCAACATGCATGTTTTTACTGAGTCGAGTCGTAGCTGCTCTCTGTAAGGTGTTTCAAAATAAAATCAGAGGGAGCTGAAAAGGTGTTAAACACGACTACATAGAAACTGTAATTTCAACTAAAGTAATCCTGTTTTTCTGGTAGTCTGAAGGTTTTTCTTTAACTACTTTGGGAGAAAAGAGACTTCAAACAAGCAAAAATCAGAAAGAATGGATAATGGCTGCATTGATCAGTGGAGTTGATTTCCTGAGCTTTCAGCCTCCGTTTGTCATGGACCATGTTGGAAACATTAAGCTGATGTTGGCTGTATTTACCATCTAGAAAACATCTCAAACTACTCTTAATGTTAGTGACATTAATTGTGCTAAACATGCATATGGTAAATGAACTATATAGCTTATTTCTATCTAATAAAGATACTCAAAGCTCTTTACAACAAAATCTGTGTCTCGTTTACCTTCAACACACACATTCATACAGCAGACATCTACAAACATCATCTGAATCTGTGAGGACTAATCAGAGCTTTAGATCATGTTCATACACTGATGGGACACACATCAGAGACAATGAGGGGTTCAGTGTCTTGCCCAGGGACACTTCAACATATGACTGCTGGTGGAATCAAACCCCCAACTGTCCCATTGGAGGACGACTGCTCTAACCACTCAGACACAGCTGCCTTTCATACATATAAAAGGTGTTTTAAGTGTCAGCACAGTCATGGTTTTGTATTTTTCTAATTGTAAAATGTTTTCATGGATGTCCAAATGAAGATCTTTAACTTCAAAGTTCATGAAAAGTTGAAATAATCAGAAAGAATCACATCACAAAAGGTGGAAATTAGCAATAAATAAATTAAAATGCAGAAAAGGGCTAAAATGAACATAAAAATACCTAACAATACGAATAAAAAAAGTAGCTGAGAAGCTAAATTTACCAGAAATAAGCTAAAAAACACAAACTACTGGTAGTTGAAATTAGCAGAAAGAAGCTGAAGCAAAGCAGCTGCTTAAATAAGCAGAAAAAAGCTGAAGCAAAGCAGCAGCTGAAATTAGCAGAAAAAAGCTGAAGCTAAGCAGCAGCTGAAATTAGCAGAAAAAAGCTGAAGCAAAGCAGCAGCTGGATTTAGCAAAAAGAAGCTGAAGCAAAGCAGCAGCTGAAATTAGCAGAAAGTAGCTGAAGCAAAGCAGCTGCTGAAATTAGCAGAAAGAAGCTGAAGCAAAGCAGCAGCTGGAATTAGCAAAAAGAAGCTGAAGCAAAGCAGCAGCTGAAATTAGCAGAAAGAAGCTGAAGCAAAGCAGCAGCTGGAATTAGCAAAAAGAAGCTGAAGCAAAGAAGCAGCTGAAATTAGCAGAAAGAAGCTGATACAAAGCAGCTGCTTAAATTAGCAGAAAAAAGCTGAAGCAAAGCAGCAACTGAAATTAGCAAAAAGAAGCTGTAGAAAAGCAGCAACTGGAATTAGCAAAAAGAAGCTGAAGCAAAGCAGCAGCTGAAATTAGCAGAAAAAAGCTGAAGC